GACAAACGTGCCCGGGCATCGTTTTGTCTTCATAGCCTGCAGGGGGCTGGCGCATATAAACCGTCTCAGCGAGATTGTCATTTAGGAAAGCATTGTGTATGTCCAACTGTCGAATAGTCCATCCACGAGAAATAACTAAAGATAAAAGAAAACGTACAGTAGTCGGTTTAACCACGGGATTAAAGGTCTCAAAGAAATCCTCACTAGCAACCTGATTGAATCCTTGGCAACCAAACGAGCCTTGTAATGCTCAATCGAACCATAAGCTTTCCTCTTGCTTCTAAACACCCACTTACATCCAACCACATTCATACCTGATTTAAAAGGAACAAGCCGTCATGTATTGTTGTGCACCAAGGCATTAAATTCCAAATCCATTGCATCCCGCCATTCGGGAAATTTGACCGCTTGAGTAAAACATGTAGGCTCAGTAGTGACATCAGTAGATAGAGCAACATGGTCATGCGGTCCCGAGCTCCGCGTATTCATCGTATGAGACCGAACGGGCGAGGGCGCGGGACGAGATCGACCACGGGGTCGGCCCCTCGGCCGAGCTGGTGGCTGGTCCGTGACTGTCCGCTCGGACTCGGTCATGGATGACTCCAGAAACGGGCTGCTGACGGCGTGGCTCGGGTCTGGTTATGGGCACGGCATGAGGGTCAAAGGCCGAGACAGCACTCGGCTCACCAGGAGGCACAACTGCTGCAATCCCTCATGGCTCCGGGCGTGGTGCGGGTACCTGTGAATCAACAGAAGCAACAAAAGGAAAGACAGTCTCAACGAATTGCACATGGCGACAGATAAAAACCTTTTTAGTGTTAGTGTCTAAACAACAATAGCCACGAAAAGACGGAAGATATCCTAGAAAGACACAAGGAGACGACCGAAACTGCAGTTTGTTGCGATTATAGGGCCGCAGATTAGGAAAACACAAACACCTAAAAACCCGTAAGTATGAGTAAGAGGGCGGAGACCGATGCAAGAGCTAGTGAGGAAACTTATCAGAAAGACACGAGTGGGCATTTTATTGATAAGATACACAGCAGTTTCGAAGGCATAATCCCAGAAACAAGACGGAACAAAGGATTGGGCCATTAGCGCCAGTCCCGTTTCGACAACATGGCTATGCTTGCGTTCTACTCTGCTGTTTTATTCATGAGTATACGCACATGATTGCCTGTGACGAATACCCAATGACGCGATAGTCGAACCAAGCTTTTTGTATTCTCCCCCTAAATCAGACTGAAAAGACAGAATTTTACGAGAGAAGGAACGTTCAACAAGTGACCGAAGCTTATCAAATATCGCATATAAATCAAACTTAGCTCGCATAGGATAATACCACACGTAACGAGTGTAATCATCAACAAATAATACAAAATATTTAAAGCCATTTACAGAAAGTATCGGCTTAGGGTCCCAAATATCTGAATATATTAATTCTAAAGGATGCGAACTAGTACATTCAACACGCGATAAAGGAAAACGAGACGACTTGCCTAATTGACAAGAGGAACAAATATTGGGCAGATCACTGGAATTAAACGAACTAAGACTAGAAGAGGCTAAAACTTGACGCAGGACCCGAGAGTGTGGATGCCCAAGCCGCATATGCCAAACGAAAGAAAACTATGCAGCAACGAAAGCAGCGGGAGCCGGACGCGAGGCAGGCCAGGCATATAAACCCCCGGACGCATGCCCCTTAAAAAGAGTGTTCCTGGTTTGAATGTCCTTCACAAAGAAACACGAAGGGTGAAACTCAAAAAGGACATTATTTTCTTTAGCAAAACGCTAAACAGATAATAATGAAGAAGATAAACCAAGAACATGCAAGACATCAAACATACGAAACGACCTAGAATTAGTGGCTAACGAAGTAGAACCAACAGTAACAATAGGCAAACCTGTACCATTGCCGACCCGAAGTGTCTCCAGACCATCATATGTAGTAGAGGGCGTCAATAAGGTGGGATCAGGGGTAGCATGATTTGTGGCACTAGTGTCGGGGAACCACTTATGAGAGTCGTCCATAGAACCATCAACACTAGAAACGACAACATTCGCCTGAGGATCTGGATCAGGAGTGAAACGACGCCAACACGCCGTAGCTATATGCTCTTGCTTATTGCAAATCTGACACCGAGGGCCTGAGTTGGACCGCCCTCGACCACGACCACCGCGCCCCCTGCCGCGGCCGCCGTGACCCCCACGGCTTACGGCCAAGGCCGTCGGTGCGCCGAGAGCCGCGCTGTCTTCCGAACAGATCCACTCCTGCGAAACCAGAAAATTCGCAACCTCTGGGAGGGGAACGGGAGCACCACGGGCTAGGGTTGCCACCAACGATCGGAACTCCGGGCGCAAACCACGAAACACGTACAGATTCTAATCATCCAACTCAACGTGATGACCGGCGAGAGCCAATTCATCCATCAACATCTTAGCGCGACCAAGGTAATCAGATATGGAGGAGTCACCTTGGCAGAGCCCTTGTAGTTCGCCGAGCAGCCAGAGAGCGCGAGAGCGAGTGGACGATCCTAGGGTTTGTTCGATCACCTGCCAAAGCTGCCGAGAAGTACCCTTGCCGACGGCGAAACGAAGGGTCTCCTCGGACAAGGAAGAGATGAGCATGGAGAGGATGGCTTTGTCTTGCCGACGCCATGCGAGCTGCAGCGTCGGGAGATCGGAAGCCACCGTCGGAGCACTGTCCGCGGTCGACGCCAGCGCCGGTGACTCCGTCAAAAAGGGCGTAGTACCATCAACAAGCCCTAGAAGCCCTTGGCCTTCAAGAAACGGAAACATCTGAGTTCGCCAGAACAGATAGTTCCGGGAGGTCAACTTTAAGGAAACGAAGTGGTGAGCCGATGAAAGGCTACCACTCGCAGGCAATGAAGGAATCTCGGTAACGGTCCGTTCAGAGGAACCAAGAACAGAGCCGTTATTAACACCGACGTTTTTCATGGGAGAAAACCTAGCTAATACCAGATGAGAATATATTTTCTGTGTATTGATCAAGAGCAGCGGATACAAAGTATATAAAGATATGAAATAGAGATCTAGTCTAATACTACTAATATAATAGAGATCTAGTCTAATACTACTAGTAGAGTCCTAATACTATGAGATAATCTTATAGGAGAATTCACTATAATGACATGTACTAAAGGGAAAATGTGCCATTAGCCACAATAATCAAGAATGTGACATTAGTCACAGTAAAAAAATTTCATAAATTTAATCAAGAATGTCAAAGTATAGTGCAAACATACCACGGTACATACATGACCAAATTAAAGAAATTTTATAATATCATGAACTTTACACAGTTATACATTATGCTCTGTTAGAAGTATATATATAGAAGAAGGCAAGAAGCCATAGAAGGAAGAGTACAACTTTGTAAATCACTAAATACACTTCAAAAGTGCATATTACATCCGATCCACGGTATTGTAATCTACAATATTGTAAATTTTTCTTTTACAATAATGAGTTTCAAGAGTTTTGTCACAATAAAATATAAATGAACTTATTTCAGCAATAACTTTTTTTTTTTAATTTATTATAGCGATATATTAATATCTCTATTTACAACATTAATATGAACTTTAATTAAATTTCTCAAATATTTGACTATAATTATTTTAAAGTAGCAAAAATGTTGTCACATGCTTAACTTTTATGATCTCACGTATGGAGCACATATAGTACTATATTGCTTCCAGACTTGTTCAGTTCTTGACTTTGCAAACAAGGTACATACCCCATCAAAGGGGACCATCTAGCTAGCAAGCACATCCCAATTTTTGTGTAACTTGTACTCAAATACCATACCTCAAAGTATAGTAACAAACTTACATATACCTCATGCTTCAAGCAAAAGTTTACCATCTCCATACAATTATCTACTCGAACTCCAGTTCTTACAAATAACTCAATTGATTGATCAATCTAAAAATAGTTAATAGATTTGTCAAAAGACATACAACTACAGAGATATCTATCCACAACTTATGCACCACCTAACAAATTTTCGTTTCACTCAAAGAATACTAAGAGTCAAGGTAGGTGTTTACTTCAAGTGAACAACCAAGAGGGATAATGATGGGATAACCCCAGCTAAGATAGCAAGAGATTCACATCTGTAAGTTGTAACCACAAAGTCACGAGTTCGAATTCTTGTTCGACCCTTTAGTTTGAGTCGGTCAGCTGTGAATAACCTATACTGGTTTACTTCCTTGTGGTCCTTTAATTTACTGACTAGGGTCACAAGACGAGATTTACTCGGTCAAAGTACCTATTAAGTCCCTATACTATACTGTTTTGTTCAATTTAGTCCTTTTACCTTAGTTTTATTCAATTTAGTCCATGTACTACAGTTTATTCTTCCGAAGAATCGGAAGCGAAACGCTATGCCGGGGCGGGGGACGGGAAAAGAAACGGCTCCGAAGAAAGAAATTGGGGTTCCCAATGCTTCTCCACGCTCAACAAGATGCGCCAACCTCGGGATGCTTTACTCCTAACCCCACAAGGTTCCAAGACGGAGCTTAACCTGAGTCTCGGTTAAGAATGGCGATGATCTACGTTTCAGTGAAACAATTAAGGACAATAGCTTATATTTATGTATTTATTTTGGACATATTAATGTATATATTAACGGTAAAAATAATTAATTTTAAATATTTATAAAATAATATATGAGTTGACATGTAAGTATGATGACGTGACAAATATAATGTCAGCGCCATGCCGCCATATCATATATTGCCCTTATTTGTTTCACTTTTAAACATACATAGACTAAATTGAACAAAATTAAGGTAGAAGGACTAAATTGAACAAAACACGTATTATAGTACATGGACCTTATATATACTTTGATCGATTTACTCACACTCAAAAGGGTTCTGGGGTTTCTCAAGTCATCCAAAAAAAAAAAAAAAAGAGGGATAATGATTAGCTAGCTAGGTACCTAGAAGTGATGATGTATATATAAAGGAGAAGTTGAGAATGATGAAGCTAAGCTAAGGTGTAGGGGAATGAGCCAAAAGATGATGATGAGTATTACAAGTGTTGGGAGTGGTGGGAGATTGTCAATGGAGGAGAACGAGGAGGAGGAGATCACCAGAATGGCCATAACTTCATTCCAAGCTAGAGAAGAAGAGATTGAGAAGAGGAAAATGGAGGTGAAGATTAAAGTGGAATCTCAACTCAACCGAGCAGAACAACAAACCAAACACCTCGCACATATTTGGGAAGTATGCACCATATATACATATATTATATATCAATTATTCTCTTCCTTCATATCATCATATACATATGACATTTCAGATTTTTCAGTGTAGTACATAATGTTGTCTTGTGTTCTTTTGAGTACAAAATCTTGCATCATAACTTCAAGATGAACTAAAATTGCATCGTTGATAGATCCACCCAAAACTATCAAAAGTAGACTGAAAATTAAAATAATACATTTTTAATTTCAATCTGAAAAATGAGTTTCTATCTAACTTTTGGTTTGTGGCTTGCTATGGTGGCTGGCTAGAAATTGATCAACTCCACATTGATCAAAGTATTAGCCTTTTTCAATCAAGTTGGTCAGATTATTGACTTGGTAACAAAATGATTACAAGTTCGACTCTCGGATATAATGACTACGAATTTCATTCGTCACTCAAAAAAAACATTAGCCTCTTTCAATTAATTTCATTTATTTATTTATTTATGAATGTTGTATATTATTTATTGCAATTAGAGTTAATGCCATATGGGATCCTCTGAGTATAGTGATTTTGTCACGTTTAGCCTTAAACTTTCAAATTGACCACCTGTGGTCCTTCAACTTTCAAATTGTTACTATCCCTAGTCCAAGTTAAACACCTATGCTCCTTCAATTTTCCAAATTTAACCAACCGCGGTCCTCCTAGAAGGACCATGAGTGGTTAAAATTGATAGTTGAAGGATCATAGATGGATAACTTTGGACAATAAATAGTAAAAATTTAAAAGTCGAAGAACCACAAGTGATTAATTTAAAAGTTTAAGACTAAACAGAGCAAAATCACTATACTCAGAAAGATTCCAGATGATATTAACTCATTGCAATTATAACAATGCATTCACTTGCAAACTTATAATATTAAATATGATTCATAAATTGTTGGTTTTACTGCTACATAAAAAAGAAAATTAATATAATGGGTTTAATTTGGAAATGGTGCAAAATGTACCTGCAGGAACTAGAGGTGTTAACTGACCCTATGCGGAAGGAAGTTGGCATGGTTAGAAAGAAGATAGATACGGTAAATCGTGAACTCAAATCACTCACTCAAGCCTGCCAAAAGAAGGTATAGTAATTAACTACACTCTACAAAAACATCTGTCATATATCCAGCCAAGTTGGTATTAAAAATATATATATGAAACAAATTAAATTCTAACATTATATATTGATGTTATCAAAATATATATATATATATATATATATATATATATATATAGGGATGTCAATTTAGCCCGAATCCGATGGGCCAACCCGATAAAAAACGAAACCGACAGGGCTATGGCCCGAACGGGCTAGCCCGATAAAACACATTAGCCCGACGAGCCCGAAACCGATTAGCCCGAGGCCCGATAGGGCTAGCCCGAAATTAAAAGGGCTAACCCGACAACCCGATCTATTGAAAACTATTCTTTGTTATAAAAGTGATGTGAAACCTAACATACATGAAATAATTATTATAATTAAAAATAAATAAATAAATAAATAAATAAATAAATATATATATATATATATATATATATATATATATATATATATATATATATATATATATATATATAACTAAATGCTACTGTACAGTAAGCATTACACTACTGTACAGTAAGCATTACTAATATATATATATATATATATATATATATATATATATATATATATATATATATATTGCTACTGTACAGTAAGCATTTCTAATATATATATATATATATATATATATATATATATATATATATATATATATATATATAATTTAAATTAAAACTTAAGTTTTTAGTTTTTTAAAATTTAAAACAACATTAATTAAATATTTTAATTAAAAATTAATGATGACGGGATTTTTCGTTCTTGTCAAATTCTAAGGACTATTTTCAATTTCTCAATTTCTCATTGAGGATGGAGACGGGGAGTATACTTCTCGCCCCGACCCGTTATTATTCCGACTCTAAATATGAGTACTCACTTTTAGTTTCTAATATTAGTTCAGATTGTTCAACCCGCCCGATTAGCCCGACAACCCGAAGTTTAGGGTTAGGGCCAAACCGAACCCGAGAATAAAATATTAATTAACCGATTAGCCCGACAACCCGACAGGGTTAGCCCGAAACCGAGTGGGCTGGCCCGATTGACATCCCTATATATATATATATATATATATATATATATATATATATATATATATATATATATATATATATATATATATATATATATATATAGACTTGCACTCGGGTGCGAACGGCTCGCCCAGGCGCGAAACAAGAATGAATTCTGTTCGTCCACGTGTCCAGATCTAATGGATGAGAAACACTGATTTTTAAAAAAAATGCGGTGACATTTTCGTAAATAATTGAACATCGAAGTGCAAGTAAAATGTATTACAAGTGCATGTAAAATGTACTATAGGTGCAAATAAAAATTTACACTGAGCATCAATACTTAGTTGCACTTATAGTAAGTATTTGCACCTATAGTTCTAAGTAGTTGCACAAATAGGTATAAGTAGTTGCATCTAGGTGTATGAATGTTTGCGAGTGGTTTTCAGAAGTATTACTACCCGCTGACTCAGATCAATGAATGTTAACAAGGCAAAATTACATGCACTTATAGGTGAAAGTAGGTGCACCTATAGTTATAAATAGTTGCACCTATAGTTATAAATAGTTGCACATATAGTTATAAGCACACCCAGGTGCATGAATGGTTGCGGAAAGTGAATGATAACAAGGCAAAATTACATGCACTTATAGGTGAAAATAGGTGCACTTATAAGAGATTTTACTTGCACTTCGATGTTCAATTATTTATGAAAATGCCACCGCATTTTTTTTAAGTAATTAGATCTGGACACGTGTCGCGCGCTGATTCGTTCGCATTTCCTTCCTGGGCACTTATTCGCACCTGAGTGCGTCCCTATATATGTGTGTGTGTGTGTGTGTGTGTGTATACACTTTTTTTTTTCGATGAGGAAAACCTGGCTTAGGCATTATGGGAAACCTACAATTTGTATATTTGGTGCATAGTATTTAAGACATGAAAATAACAACAACAACAACAACAACAATAATAATAATAATAATAATAATAATATTAACATCATTATTATTATTATTATTATTATTATTATTATTATTATTATTATTATTATTATTATTATATGTCTCGTTAATTATCATTAATGTATGCTAGCTGTTACAAAATTATGAAACAAATATATATTTGAATTAATTTCAAGAAAACTGGATAATTAACACTTTAGTGTGAAATGGGTGGCAGGAAAAGGAATACAAAGAAGCATTGGAGGCCTTCCAAGAAAAGAACAATGAAAAAACTCAACTCACCTCCACATTAATAGAGGTGATGATTCTCAAATTAAACCCTAGAATCTCACTCACACAAACGCACACATATATAATCTCCCTTTCAAATGTGAACATAACATCTGATCACATCAATATTTGATAAAAAATTTACTCTGATCGATCTGTCAAATTGTATTCTTTATTTTAAATGTCATTCAAGCATTTACAAAATGTGAAAATTTCATAAACTCTTATAATAACAAATATTATATAATTTTCCTAAAAACTCAATGCTATATCTACTTAATTGCATTTTTACGCTTATTTATAAATCATATTTGTAATGATTATTCATTATTAACTATCTTTTTTTTTTTTTTTTCCTTCTATTCAAATTTTGGTTCATAATTTATGGGCTACATTTATCAGTTGGTTAATGAAAGCGAAAAATTCAGACTGGGAAAACTGGAAGAGCTGAGCAAGATAGTAGATCCCACTCATCGCTAATACATACACATACGTATACGTATGTATTTCAAGACACTTGCGTATAAAATACTCCTGGCTTTTAATAAACTTTTGCTTTGGTTGATTTGGTATTCGATATCTTTAGTTTATAAATTTAAGTTTAATTTCATGTGCTTGAATTTCACTTCATATCTTGCTACGTTTTCTTTTTAAGGTTACCTCCTATGTTTATTTATTTTGTAATATTGTAATAATATTACATTATATTATTGTGTTGGTTCTTTTTATATTGAATTACTATATAATTTTTTTAATAATAATGTTTATTTAATTAACTCGTTTACATATAAATTTTTTTTTTTCATGACCATTATAGATGTATATATATGTATGTGTGAGTGAATAGTGAAATGTGAATATTAAAACGTAATTTTAGAAAATGAAAACATCAAAATTTTGCCCTATCAATTCGGCAATTTATATCCCACACCTTGTGCGCCCTGATGCAAAATGACGTCGTTTCAATATTTTTTTTTTTTTTGAAATTTCGCTACTCTGTGTTGGCAGTTAATTTTCTTTAAAAAAATCTCATGTTAAAAAATGTACATAATTTTATACTAGAATACACATATTTGTATACATGAATATACATAATTGTATAACAAAATACACATACTTCTTTTTTTTAAAAGATACTCCGTAATACATATAATCTAACACAATAGATAATATACATAAACTTTTAACATAATAAACATCAACTCTTAACATAATACACATAAATTTCTTGTTTCGGATGTACATAATTGCATAAAAAAGATGTACATGATTGTATTAAAAAAAGAGAGTAAATACCCAAAATGGTCCCTCGACTATAGCTAAATTCACAAATTGGTCCTCGACTTTCAATTTCAACCAATTAAGTCCTTAACTTTGTAATTTTGACACGATTTGGTCCTCCATCTATTTGATCGTTTGTTGACCGTGATAGACAATCTCCAGAAGAACCTTCAGCTCTCGTTGGAGCACGTGGAGGCCTCCAGGATGACATTGCACTGGTTTGGAAACACGTCGTCTTCTTCGCTCTGGTACGAACTCAACTACATTGAATCCAAAGGGAGGAAGAAGAAAGACGACCGGATTTGGTAGATTGCTTTTCGGCAGTGGATTTAAATGTAACAGTGCAGTCTGGAAATGCAACTAGAACCTTAAAAAATCGACGATGGACCATGAAATTGCATATATATCCTCAAAAATCACAGTCAACAAACGGTCAAATAGACAGAGGACCAAATTGTGTTAAAATTACAAAGTTAAGGACTTAATTGGTTGAAATTGAAAGTCGATGACCAATTTGTGAATTTAGCTATAGTCGAGGGACCATTTTGGGTATTTACTCTAAAAAAGATGTACACAATTGTATAAAAAATATATATAATTGTATAAACAAATACACATAATTGTATAAACAAATACACATAATTTATAAACAAATACACATAATCACGTCAACTCCCTACATAACTTACCAAAACAACATTGTTTTGGAAGGCGCGGGGCGCACAGTTCTATGTGCGCCGTGGTGCAGGGTATAACGATTGTATCAATTCATACTTTGTAAATTCATTGGGCTTAGTGGTAGTGTTGAACTTAATAAATAAATTCTAATTCTTCTTCTTCTCCCAAAGAAGAAGTATAAGAAGAATTTGAATTTATTTATTAATTCTTCTTATTCTTCTATAAGGCAAATGGCTTCTCTAGTCATTTTCTAAGTATGATGGATAGAAATTACTTGCATAACTCATTATGCTGTATAATAGTATTTGTTAAGGTTTAGTCTATTCATATTACATTTGTTTAGATTATATTTGTTTATATTTTCCTAGTCTTATGTTTCAGGTGTAACTGCTCCTTCTTTCGTGGCTCTGTATATTATTTAAACACTTTGGTTTACAATGAGTAAACTACAGAACTTCATATTCTCACATGGTATCAGAGCTATCTGTCTAACGAGATTTTTTTTTTCATTCCCTCCTTCCTTTTTTTCGTCAATCATGGTTGTTGCTAATCCCACAGTTATCATTCACATCCATGCTCTGACCCACCTACCAATCAAACTTAGCACCGCAAATTTCCCTATTTGGAAGAAACAGGTAGAATCCACGCTCATAGGACTTTGACCTTCTCGATTATGTCACGGGTTCTACTACAGCTCCGGCTCAGTATTTCAATGAAACTCACACTGCATTGAATCCTGCCTACACTACTTGGTTCAAACAGGACCATGCTAAATAATCTTGAGTACTATCCTGGCCAGTCTTTCGGATGTTTTGCAGTCGGTCATTTCGTCCGCTACTTCTGCATGTGATGCGTGGACTCGTTTGTCCACTAGCTATGCGTTCCAAGTTTGCAACAAAATCTTGTTTCAGTTTCTAAACTCTGTAAGACTAAGTCTGTCTCGTTTGAATTCTTTAACACACATTTTGTTGTTAAGGATTGGCAATCGGGAACTTCTCTCGTCCGGGGACCGTTCGTGAGTGATGTCTACAGCCTTCCTGTACAGCGATCTTAGGGCAATATCACCCTCAAGTCGTCGTTGTCGAATTGGCATCATTAGTTTAGTCATCCCAGTACTCAAATTCTAGCTTGTCTGCTTAGAAATAATAATGTAAATTTTAAGCTTAAAGAGCTTAAATCGTTTGCATGTAATTCTTGTCATATCAAAAAAAGTCACAAACTTCCATTTTCTTTTAGTTCCATGTCTAGTATTCGACCGTTGCAGTTAATTTACATGGATGTGTGGAGTTCTACAACAGTCTCTGTGGATGGCTTTAAATAGGTACTACGTAAATTTTGTCGACCACTACACTAAATATGTTTGGTTGTTTCCCCTAAAACTTCAGTCAGATGTTCACACTCTCTTCCTTTAGTTTAAACGTATGGTCAAGAACTATTTTGATTATAAAATTGTTTCGATCTTTTCTGATAATGGGGGTTAATGCGTTAAGTTAATTCCTATCTTTAATACTCTAGGAATTTCTCATTTCACTTCGCCTCCGCACACTCCGGAGCACAATGGTTTGGCTGAATGACGACGCAGGCACATAGTCGAGAGTGATATGGCGCTACTACATTACACGTCCTTGCCCTCCTCGTTTTGGTCTAATGCCTTTCAAACTGTCGTTTATTTAACTAGTATTTGTCCCGTGCAATGCACGGAAAATATGTTATAAAAATATACCATATATGAGGTTCATTCATATATAAAATTTTTGTTATTTAATAATTATTATGAGTAAATTCCTATGATAAAATTATGAACATAAATATATTTACAATTAAAATAATATTTAAGGTGGGTGATTACTACAAATCTTAAACTATATTAAAAATTTAGTACATAGTATTTAATATTACAAATTTTTAAGAACTTAGTAAACTACAATAGTAATTGAATTATAATTTTAGAGTCACCACGGATCAAAATTTTTAGACCTTTGAAATTTCTAACTCTAGATGTAGCAACATACAATTGACCTTTAAAGACCAAAATCAAAATCTTAGTTCGAACATTGATTTTTTCTTCCAAATACTATCGAATTAAGTGTGTAATCAATAAAAGTTGAGAACTAATAATTCGAGAATATAATCTTAATGTTACTAAGCCTATTTCACGTCAATTAAGTTGGAGAGTATCCGATGAATCCACGAATAACGCATCTTTGTCTCCGTAGTCCTCAATATGTACATCAACAATCTTAAATATTAGGCCGCCTAGCTATGCCATATATTAATTTCAAACTTATGAACTTTGGGGTTGCATGCAATAAAAAGTATATTTTAAATATACTAAGGGTACATTATATATGTATGTAAGGTACTTTTAATATAAAAATAATATATTTTTAATATATTAAAAATGTATTTGATATTCATGATCCATACAATTATGTGGACCATCGTTCACACAATAATTTGCCAGTAGAAATTGAAATATAAATAAATAAATAAATAAATAAATAAATAAATAAATATATATATATATATATATATATATATATATATATATATATATATATATATATATATATATTAGAAACTGTCAGTGGAAATTATTATCATTATTATTATTGCAATTATTATTATTATTGTTATTGTTATTATAATTAACAATATTATTATGGTCTTGTGAAAATTTAATGTTGATTATCACCATTTAATTTTCACAAGACCATATAGCTTTATTATATATAGGATTAATAGCATGCCCACTACACTTCTTAATTATTCCTCGTCATATGAAAAGATGTTCAATAAACACCCGAATTACCAGAAAATTCGGCCATTTGGGTGTTTGTGTTATCCCTGACAAAAACCTTATTTTCCAGCCAAATTGAGTCATAAGTCTCTACCGTGTGTCCTTTTAGGTTATTCGTTAAGTCAGTCTACGTATAGGTGTTTAGAAATATCTAGTGGTCGAAATGTCGAATTTATGTTTCACGTCATGTTGAGTTTGTCCCAAATGAGTTCCCATTTCGCAAACTGAGTTGTTGCTCTGTGTCCACTGTCGCACCATCGACCATGTCCGTGTATATGAGTTTGGATGTCTCTGCCTCCTCCTACTCCTCGCACTGCAGGTACAAATTTTCTACAGCCACTGCCACCTCATCCATCACCGAGTCCTGCCACTCATATACCGACGGTGGCTTCTGCGTTGGGCCCAGCCGTGGCTATACCGCCGATCACAATTCCGCCAGCACCGGCTTTAGAGGTTCCAGTCACTGCCCTGGAGTCGTCGGCGGGTGCTTTGCCTGTCGGTGCGTCGCCATTTCGCACAACACTTCCTTCGTCTACTTCGAAGTCCGTCTCTAGCGTCTGTCGTTCCCGTGGGAAGTTTCTCGCCAACTGGTTCACATATTCATGTGCCTATTTCATCTTCTTTGCCGGTTGATAATCTTCAAGAACAAGAGGGCGAGTTGGTTCAAACGGTGGAAGCAGCAGGTGTTTTGGAGTCAGCGTCGGTAGCATGTTCATTGGAGTCGGCTGCACCATCAACGACTCAGCTGACCAACAAGCTATTTTTGTTCCCTTGCGTAGGTCTACCCAGTCGCGCTGTCCGAATCTAGGTACTTTGATTATAAGTTCCTTAATCTGACGAATTCTCATCCCATTGCTTCGTCGATTGAACCACGCAC